TGATCTCCACAAGCTTTTGAGGCTCCGCATTATTTCCTTTGTATTGTTCTAGCTCATGATTAAAGGAAATCGGAATAGGGAAGTTGCACCCTCCGTGGGTATGTGTATGGCAGATTTCTGGCCAGTGGTTTGGGTGCACCGGAACAGGGAGCTTTCTGGCAGCTCCATGAGTAGGAGCTGGTGTAAGCAACGTTGCCTCTCGGGGCCTCGGTCTCCTTGGGCATCACCAGGGATGGCAGTAGGGTACCCAGTCCTTTGGCTGTGATGAGGACTCAGTGTGTTCACAGCTGGGAAATGCTGACGGCAGCGTCGGACACAGTGAGCCCCACAGGGCCTCACTGTTGTCATGAATGTCATTTCCCCTTTGTGCCACTGAAGTTACATCCTATGCATCTCAGTGTCTGTAAAAGACCTGTGTCTTTGGGCTACTCTGTCTTTGTTTTCTGTGTGTTGCGTACTGATTTATGAACAGATTGTTAGTCTTTCTCTGACCTCTTTCTTTCTGATTGCAGGTCCTCAAGTGGTTGAGAATCTGTTTCTCGAGGTCATCAGGGCCTTTTATGCTTACTGCAGAGACGCCCTTGGCTCTGACCTCCAGCTCAGCTACACTCAGAGTGGGAATCTCCTGAGCAGGTAGGAGTCCAGCCTCTCCTGTCCGTCCCTCCCTCCCAGGGCCAGAGCCTCTCTTCTGTTTACTGTGAGCTGTGAAGTGCTGGGGAAAGCGGAGACACGGCAGGTTGGGCTCTCACTGAAATACTCTGTGCTCTTAGTCCATCAGCACAATTGCCTGCCCTTGCGGAGCACTGGGAAGAGAGGAAAGCTTTGCTCCCGCCTCTTCCCTAGCCTGGATGTGCAGACAAGTGTGACAGTTGTGCAGTGGGACCTGGTGTCCCGAGTGGCGAGTGGCGAGGCACACACAGGGAGAAGAGAACCGAGCAAAGGGGAGAGGGGAGTTCAGGAAGCGAGGGAGGGAACGGAGCCGGTGCCAAGGGGGGAGCGGCCCAGGTGGGGGACACAGGCTTCCGGTGTGGTGGTTGCAGTTACCTCTGACCCTTGGGTTTTGTGCTTTTCAGGATAAAACAACTTCTTTGTGCTTCACTCTTAGTGTGATTTCCTTCTGCTGGAATTGGCCGCGGGTGTAGTGAAAATTTCAACTAATTCTCAGATTTTTCTGTGTATTCACCGTTAAGGGTCTTGAGAATTCTCAATGTTTGCTTTTTCTTTTCTTTTTATGTTCGCTTTTTTCTCCCAAAGTGAAAGGTTATTGTTTTCCTGAGTGCGAAAGTAACACATGATCACTATAGAATTCACTGATATTTGTAGACCTTAAGAAAAGTATATCACCCATAATTCTGCCATCCTTCAGAGGAAAATAAAACTCACTTCTTTCTGGACTTCTAGTGCATATGTGAATATGTAAATGCCTATCTTTATTTCAAAGATGGAACTACACTTGCTGCTACACTTGCTGTTGGCCGCTATAAAAATGCAAATTTCGAACAGCTCTGTACTGTTCGTGGACCGTGGTGGTGGCCTTAGAGTCCTTGGTAAGGAGCGATCTCGTATTGAGTAAATGCCACCTGACTCGGAGGCGGCTTCCACTCTGTGATTCTCAGTGGCCTCGCAGGGGTTCCTTTGTGCGTGCATCTCTGTACCTGGGTGAGGACTGCTGGGGTCCTGGGGGTTGTTTCTGGAGCCACAGAACGTACACATTTACAGTTTCAGCCAAGGCCTGAGGATGCAGCTTAGCGGTAGAGCCCTTACCTAGTGTGCACGAGGCCCTGCGTTTGAGCCCCAATACTACCATCAAACAAGCAGAATTTAGCCAAATGTCTGCCAAAGTACAGTACCCTAGTTACCTTTGGCTCGACTAAAACTGCTTTTCTTCATCTTTTCTGGGGGAGCCACTCTTTCTGGGGTGAGGTGGAATCTCAGTGTTGTTTTCATCTGCATCTCTCAAATGACCAGTGATGTTGAACATTTTTTCATATGTTTATTTGCTGCTTTTACTTCTTTGTCTGAGAAATGTCTGTTCATTTCAGATGCCCATTTTTGGATTGGGTCTTTGAATTTGGGGGGTCTGATTTTTTTAAGTTCTTTATATATGATCTGGGTTTTCGTTGGAGAAATTATATTTTTAAAACATATCCAAGCGTGAGACTTTTGCACAATACAGTGCAAATCATAGCTCTCTTGACAGCTTTTGGTGTCTGTTCTTTTACAGGTTCAGATATTAAAGGAAATACCATTGTGCCAGAAACTGACATCTCAAATTCTTATCAAGACCAATCCTCTTATTTTTTTGAAAAATACTCCAAGGATCTTTTAGTTGAGGTAAAGGACATTTCTGGAAAGTTCCGCCCCACCAGGGCTTCCCCATCCCGACTGCAGCGGGTTCCGTGTGAAACTTCAGAGTAGACAATGGGAGTGGTCCTTGCTACATGGCTGGAGAACTGAGGTGTACTTGTGTGTTAGGGGCTGGTTCTTTCTCTACCCAGGTGCTTAACAATTAAGACAACTGGTAATGTCATGCTTCACCTGCTCAGTATCCTAATGTGTGGCTTTTTAAACAGAGTCTGGCTGAGATACTGCACCAGAAGTTCTCCAACACAGATGTCGAGGAGCGGCACCATGCGTACCTGAAGCCTTTCCGCATCCTAGTTAGTCTGCTCGACAAGCCTGAAATAGGTAACGTGAGAAATGCTTCTACCTACGATGGGGCCTGGATATGGATTTCCTGTTCTCAGGGAATTATAACACCATGAGATACAAATAGTGCATTATTTTGACTATAATTTAATCTTTGGAATTTCAGAATCTGGGAATCACATGGCTCAGTTCTCATTTCTGAGACCATTTAAGAGTTTTACACAGGCCAGAGGTGGTGGTGCACATCTGTAATCCCAGCACTCTGGGAGGCTGAGGCAGGAGGATAAGAAGTTCAAGCCCAGACTAAGCAATTTAGTGACGTAGCAAGACCCTATCTCGAAAAATAAAAAAGTACTAGCAATGTAGCTCAGTGCTAAGGCCCTAGGTTCAATTCCCAGGACTCAGAAAAATAATAAAGTTTTGCATAGTAACTTGAGAATTCTTGTTAATAAAGTGCTTTTGAGCTCCCAGTGCCCATGTGTGTGTGGGCCTGCACAAAACACACAGTACTGTATCTGTCTCCTTTTTAAAGTTCCTCCATGGGCCATCACTCGTTTTGAGCAGTTACTTTGGGCAGCTGATGTGCACACATCATTAGCCACATGGCCGCCTCATGTAATGCCCACGCCTGCTGTTGTCCCACCGAGAACCCTGAGGTGGGCCCCTGCCCCCCACACCTTCCAGTCGGCGGGAAAGCATCTCTGACCTTCAGCTGGTGGTGTTCTTTTTTTTTTTTT